TTATTCCAATTTGAGACTGTAAGTGTGCAAGTTCTTATTTTGACACTAGTTCCGACTTGGAATAATTCGCCGACTCAAAGTGGTCAGTCCTGACGTAAATATACGACACCGATCGAAAATTCCCGTTTGTGAATACGCTTAAATCCTTAGAAAGCAAATTCTTCAACCGTAAAACAAAGCATAGGTTTCTTTGTAATACATAGAAAAATCTTTGTTATACAGTACAAAGAAAACTTTACAAGGAAATTTCCTGCAATATAAGGAAATTTCTTGCAATACAAGGAAATTTCCTGCAATACTAGGAAATTTCCTGCAGTACAAGAAAATCTCCTGTTTATTACGCTTGCACAGAATTCTTTGCATCATACGAAAAAAATATTTGCAATGTGAAAGATTTAGAGTGTACAAAGATATTTTTCACTGTGAATGTAAAGCTTTAAAAAAATAACGATCCTGCATTCAAAATCCGTCCCTTTGGGCTATCTTACCATTCTTGCTTTTTCAATTATGAAAATGATCCTGTGCGGTAAAGTCCAGAATACGGAGGGAATAAAGGAGGGAGAGACACAGCGCGCTCGCGAGTGAGGGAGAGAGAGAAAGGGGGAAAGGGAGGCAGGGGCAGAGAGGAGTGGCGCCGCTGAGTGCTCCTCACCGTCACATCCACAATGCCGCGGTTGTCGCGCTCTCGTCAAAACTTTATTCAAAACTTTTCGCCGCGGCGGAGGGAGTTTGAGTTGGCGAGCGACATAATCCAGCCTTTGACGTCTAACCGGAGCCGCGCTGTGGCGGCACAGAGGAGCGGGGCGTCTCGGCCGGATCTTCTATTATGATTCACTTCGGCATGTTCATTAGAGATCGTGTGAAAGTTTGTTCGCCGAGTAACTCGTTTGCGGGGATTTGGCCATTAAGGAAACGAGCGGCAGAAGAACTAAAATGGCCGCCCGCCCCCGCGGATCCTCCGCACCGCCGCCCCTGCCCTGTTCTATATACAATGACGGCCCATCATCCCCATTTGTAGGATTTTGCAGAGAGGAACTTTTGATGCCCACGGCGCCTGATCTTCCCGCCCGCGCTACTTTATCGTCGATCCTTCCTACCCCCTTCTCTCCTCTTCCTCCAATCGCGCGGATCACTATCCCGTTGTTGCTTGCCTTTCGTCGACCAACTCTTGCGCGCGAGGATACACTTTGGATACATCGCCCATCGCAATCGCAAAGGAACGGGCACGAGCGAGAGTACCGCTTGACCACATTTTTGCTTACTCCTACACACTAAATCCTTCTGCATTGTGTTGTGCATAAGCATGCAGAATTTTACACAGCCATAATATTATGCACAATTTTATTCATAACTATGCACACTTTGGGCATAATTATGCACAATTTTTACATAATTATGCGTAACATTTGTGTAAGGCCGTATAAAATTCTGCATATTTAAACACAATAAAATGCATAAGGGTTTAGTGTGTATACTCCTCTCCACACTCCACAAGTCAAAGGGCATTGTTATTGTCTACTAAGATGCGTCAGTATAAGATTAAGATTTAATTTCGGATCTTAGGAACAAATGTCACCTACAGTTAGGCAAAATAAGAATAATTTGTCCTGCACAGGGCCCCCTTTTTAAAATTTCTACAGCCCAGGACACATCTTAAAAATTTGTCCAGCAGGAGATACAAATTTGGCACTATTCAAGCCTCCAAGTTGCCTCCTGCAAAATGTGTACTCAGACGCTTGCAAGCAATGGACAAAAACGGCCCTTTTTATATAGAGTGCTCTGTACAAAACTGTGTTGTATTTTGCGAACAGCTCTTTCCATCCGGTTATCCCTGCATCCCTGTTGTTTATTCGGTTATTCGCTCGTTGCGACCCTGCGATTGCTCAGACAACTGTTGTTCATTTTCACCTGGGCTCGTGAATACCAAGTAGAAACGTCTATGCCCGTTTATCGTTTAACGAGCAGAGCAACCCCTCGCACCGCTCGACGAGCAGCCCCTCCCTCGAAGTCCCTTCGTTGCTCGACTCTAATTTGCGGTGGAAGCAAGGTATGAATCCAGAGTGCCATGGAACGCGCTGGCTCTGGTGGTGAGCGGGGGGTGGAAGGGGGGCTCGGTTTAGCTGATGTTGTTGCTGCTGTTGGCGCGCTGCCAGCTCCCAGTTAGTTGTGTATGCCAAGTTTACATAATATTAACGCGCTGTTCGCTTCTCTCTCTCTCTCTCTCTCTCCTTCTCCTCGACTGGGGTGCAGAAGGAGCCGTTTGGAATATTAAAACAATGTCCCGCGGGCGCTGTTGGTTGAATTGAGGCGCGGCGTGTGGCGTGGCTTACGA